AAACATAACGATGTGCAATTCGTTATGTTTGTAAAAACTGAATTCTTTGCCACTCCTCCCATTGAAAGATGAGGTCCATTCCCCACCCCTCGACTGTGGACTGGACTTTTGGCCAGCTTTCACCAATAGAATGCTGTTTCAATGGTGTTGTGCAACTTCCAAAACGATGTCTTTGCAGCTTCAGCTCTTTTTAGAATGCTCCTTCCTGAATGCCAACAGTCAAGGCAAGTCTGATATGATTTGGCTGTGTCCTAACCCAAAATCTCATCTTGAATTATAATCCCCAGCCCCATGTGTCAAGGGCGGGACCAGGTGGAGGTAATCGAATCATGGGGGCTGTTTCCTCCATGTTGTTCTTGTGATAGTGAGCGACCTCTCACCAGATCTGTAAACACAGTTTTACAAGTGTCTGGCATGTCCCCTGCTGACACGGTCTCTCTCCTGCTGCCCTGGGAAGAAGTGCCTTCACCATTATTTTAAGTTTCCTGAGGTCTTCCTAGCCATGCAGAACTGTGAGTCAATTAAACCTCTTTTCTTTATAAATTACCCAGTCTGGGAGAGTTCTTTATAGCACTATGAAAATGGACTAATACAAGTCCAGCTACCTTGAGACAACCATGCTGTGAGGAAGCCGAAGCTAGCCAGGTGTAACAGAGAAGGTCTGAAGTAGCAGACATGTGATGCAGCCTTCTTGGACCTCCCAGCACAGCCCAGTTACTTCCTTTTTTTTTCCCCCAGTTACTTCCTGTACACAGCCTAGCATATGATCACAGTTGATGCTAGGTGGAACAGAACAACTGTGAGTCAACAAAATGTGATTGTTTTAAGCCACTATTTTGAGGTAGTTTGTTACACAGTAAAAACTAGCTTACAGAAATTGGTTCTTTTTTATTTTTGAAATAAAGATGGGGTTTTACTATGTTGGACAGGTTAGCCTCAAACTCCTGGCCTTAAGTCATCCACATGTCTCGGCCTTCCCAAAGTGCTGGGATTACAGGCATGAGCCACCTTGCCCAACCTAGAAATTGGTTTTTGAAATAGAATAAATTTAGGCAATGTACAATTAGGTAATGTGCAAAAACCTAAAACATGTGCCCAAATCTAATTCTATCCTGACACTGCTCCTCTAGATAACAACATAACAGAAAAAAAAATTTGAGCATGTCTCCCCGTTTTATGGATATGTGTTTTTGTATAAATTATACACATGTAGGACTGTTCTAGGGATGTATATTATTGGACACAAATAAATATTAAAATGATGAGATAAATAAAAATGTAAATAATTACTTTTTTAAAAAAATTATTTACATTTTACTAAACAGCATTTATCACTGAAAATATTAGTTATGTAATGAAAGAAATCATTATTTTTTAAAATCTTAGCTTACTACTATGTAATACCAGTGATCTGTATTTCTTCTGGTCTTAAATTCAATTTTTTTAAATACGTTTTTCTGGAAGTGATAACAGAAAAAGATATCTTTTCATTGTTCTCATAATAGTGGAAACACTTGCAAACATTCCGTCTCAAAATGCTCTCTCCAGAAAGTTTCTTCCAAAGAGCAGTTTACTTTTTCATGCATTAAACAAACAGGAGCCTACCGTGCACCAGACACTGTTTTATGCACAGAGAATAAAGCAATGAACAACCACAACAACAAATCTCCACCTCACGAAGCTGACACTCTTGCTGGGGGAGACACAGCACAAATGCATAAATAAATCACTCTAAAATACATCAGCTGGGAAAAACCTGCCGTGAAGAAACATGAAGCAGGATACAAGGATAGAGAGGAGCTGCAGTGGAAGGTTGAGGGTGGGAGTTGCTGTGTCAGACAGAGTGGTCTGGGAAGGCCTTTCTGGTACAGGTAACGTTTGATGGAGACTGAAAGAAGCAGGGGACCCTGCCATGGAGTGAATGGATGGGGAGGGGGTCAGCATTCCAGGTGCAAAGACCTGGACAGTAAGTGGCCCTTAATGAGCAGAAAGGCTTATGGAAGAGTCCTGAGGGCAGAGAGGTCCCCAGGGCCAGCTCCTGACTAAGGCC